CTGTAAGCTAGCAATGTTTTTGTTTCTTTCCAACTGGGAAATCTTAATATACAAATATTATTTGAGGTTTCCTCTTTATATTAACATTAAAGATGACTCAATAAATTTACATAAAATTAGGATTCAGACCAAACTGTAATGTATTATTATAACCAGCAAGACAAATTAAGTCATATCTCTGCATAAGATTATGATATCAGGATGATCCAGGTATCAAAATGTAGCTTTTAAAGCAGGAATCCAAAAATGTAGTTAGATCATTTTGTCCAAATTTGACTTAATCCTCACTTTGATATAACAGGTCACATATATATACTACTCTAGTCAGTATCTAGTTTCTTTCTCTTTGTGAGTCAGACAGTGAAAATCCAGATTAACCAAGTGTCCAACTGCTGCAGCCCAGTCTTTAAACACTTGTTGAGGTTTTAAACATCTGGCTTGTCYGGTCTCTTTCTTTGCTCAGTGCAGTTATTCTGGTTTTTCTGTGCTGTAAGGATAAACAAACATGGAGTGTTTTTGTCGCACACAGGCTGCAGTTTCATTCTGCCTCCAATCAAAGTAAACAGTTTCCCACTTTAAGGCCACAGCTGCCCTCTTATTGACTCAGACTCTGTCAGAAGACGAGGAGAGACCTTCTGGTCCTCAGACCCGAGTCCTCTGATGGGGTCTGTGCCACTTGGAACCATTCGCTCTGTGGGAACTTGTTTTTGCTCAAATCCCCGCGGGTGGTGGGGGTCTGAGCTCGTCCGTCAGCAGGCCTTAGGCAACGCGCCAGGTGTCCGCCGCCCTGCCTTTAGTGTTTGTCCTCGCTAATGCCCTCAGCTGAAACGTATTCATCATCGCCGAAATAATCAGTTGACGAACACGCCACATCTGGCTCAGGATGGAACCGACGCATCGGCCACATCCCAGGGCTATTTGGTTACCAAAAGGCCGTAAGACTTGCTTCTTATACTTTCTTTCTTCCTCCACAGGCGGGAAAAATCATTGTTTTCTACAAAAGAAGGAACGTTCACATCCTGGGCCGGTACCTGGTCTGGGCCGCCCTTCTGGTATGTCTCACTGTCCAGACAAAAAAAACAAACAAAAAACAATAAATCAAATAGTGTTTGTGGTCTGAATGTTTCCCTCGGCCTCACAGGTGAAGCACACTTTGTTTTCTAGTCACGCTCAGGTCATTAGCAGGACAGAGCGGAGGACGTGCGTGTGATCTTAGCATAATTAAACAACATCCATGTGTGGCGGCGTTTCCGGGAAGACATGGGTATCCGACGCCTCGGGGGGATACACGCTCACCGCCTGTCTGCGCCTCACATGTGCTTTTAGATTCTGCATCAGCTCGACCTGCGGGAAAAAGACCCCACAAACAGACCAAGTAAAGAAATGAACTAGATAGAGTTTTAATCAGATTCAGGATAAACATTTTTTTTTGTAATTTTTATTTTTAAAGGTTTTCAAAATTTAGCACAAACATACACACACTTATACACATGGGAAGCATGTCAATAAACACTAACCAAACTATTTGAATCAAAATTTATATTGATAAGATAAGTTAAGATAAGATAAATCTTTATTGCCATTGTTGCACTGAAAAGAACACTGCGGTCCACAGACAATGAATAACGAAATAATTTTTGCAGCTCCCGTAGTGCAAATAAATCAGAACATTTAAAAAAGATAAAATAAAAGGTAAAAAAGAACAAAAAGTAAGATAAAATAAGATAAATATGTAAAAAACAACAGTAGCAAATATAATATTGTTCATGTAAAGTCGGATCTCAAAGGTTTTACATACTCAGTCCATTTGGTCCAGATCTTGTAAAACATGTCCTTTTGCATCTTGAGGGAAAACGATAAATTTTCCATGACAAATATGTCATGTACGTTAATCCACTCCTCGATGGTTGGGGATTCGACTTTCAGCCGTTTTCTTGTGATGCTTTCTTGCTTGCAACAAGTGATATACTCAATAGTCTTTTATCAGTGTTATTCCAATTTGTTGTAGGTACATCACATAAATACAATATTTCATATTTAAGATGAATTTTTGCACCACATACATCATTAACATGTTCACAAATCTCTGCCCAACAGTTAGAAATAACCTGACATCCCCAGAAAATATGTAAGTGGTGTCTAATGCTGTAAGTGTCCTTGGGTGTCCTGAAAGGTGCTTTTCAAATAAAATCATTATTATTATGATTATTATTATTATTATTATTAGCACCAGTAGCCCCACATAGTCTTCATGTTCTTCCAGCTAAACTCTCACAATGTATTAGACCCTGTTACTGTCCATTAAAGTTGACATATATTGGCCCAACTTTACAGTGAAATAACCATATTGCCTTCCTTCTCCCACCTTTTCTTAATAAATTCTGTATYRGCCTGYTTAAATTGCTGAATGCCCTTATATAACTTGGATATGACATAATCAGGGTAAACTTTTAATCCTGAYTGAATACATTCAGAGGCTTTCAGTTTATCAGTGTTTGGTAGACTCGGAGCACAACAAGCTGGACTCCTGTTTTGTTAAGAGGGGGCTGCGTCCCCCCAGGGAGAGGCCGAGTGTTACATGAGACGACTTGTTTTGCATTTCTGAGCCCGACAGGAGGTTCTAACGAGAACGTCAACGTTGTGCAGAGCTGTGCCCRGCTGAAGTCAGGTCTAACTGTGACTGAACTCTGAGCGAGCAGCAGACCATGAGGCCTCGCGTTTTCAGCAGATAGTTTTCTGTTCTGTTTCTCTAGCAGAACTGGATGTTCAGAACTGATTCTGTTCATAACTTGTATGGACAGAGTTTATCAGTGCAGCCGGGTGGAGGAAGGGGGGTTGGGTTCTGATGGCCTCAGGGTTCCATCTCTGCTGTATGCAGATGATGTGGTTCTGTTGGCGTCATCGTGCCGTGATCTCCAGTTCTCTCTGGAGGACAGGGTTCTCAAAAAAGAGTGGATTGTCCTCTCAGGGTGGAAGAGGAGGCTGGACCATGGTGATGGATGGATGGATGATGGATGGATGGATGGATGGATGGATGGATGATGGATGGATGGATGATGGATGATGAATGCATGGATGGATGGATGATGATGGATGAATGGATGGATGGATGGATGGATGGGTGGCTGGATGGAAGAATGGATGGATGGATGAATGATGGATGGATGGATGATAGACGGATGGATGGATGGATGGATGCATGGATGATGGATGGATGGATGGATGATGGATGCATGGAGGGATGGATGGATGATGGATGGATGATGAATGGATGGATGGATGATGGATGGATGGATTTGTAGATGGATGGATGGATGGATTTATGGATGGATGGATGGATGGATGATGGGTGGATGGATGATGGATGGATGGATGATGGATGGATGGATTTGTAGATGGATGGATGATGGTTGGATTTGTAGATGGATGGATGGATGGATGATGGATGGATTTGTAGATGGATGGATGGATGATGGGTGGATGGATGATGGATGGATGGATGGATGGATGGATGGATGATGGATGGATGGATTTGTAGATGGATGATGGATGGATGGATGATGGAGATGTTTATAACTTCCTCAGTTTCTGAAGGACTCTCTGACATTAAATATTATAAATCTGTTGTTTTCATTAACAAACAGAAACTGGAAGGTTTTATGTTGATTTTCATTAATGAACCTAAAACATATAAAAAGTTCATAAAGTTCAGTTTCTGTGATAAAATCCTCACAGCTGAATTTATTCATCCCCGTCTAAATGATGAACCCGCTCCTTTGTGTCTCTGCTCTGAAACTCATCGACTGTCATCGAGCTGCTGAGGGGAGGCGAAACAAACGAGGTCCTTTTGGTTTCTCCTGGAGGCACAGAGTGATAAATAAACAGGAAATTAAATAAATAAATAAATATTTTTGTGAACCAAAAACTAACTGTTTGAGGGAACGTGTTCAGGACCAGACGATGTTCAGTGAAGGATCGATACGAGGGACTTAAAGTTCTGCTGAACCTAAATAGAAAATCAAAATAAATGAGATTTCCTCGCGTTGCAACGCTTGTCGGAGAGGTCAGACTGGCTTCATTGATTTTAGACCTCAAACAGAACCAACGAATCATTTAACTAAGCAAACATTTCTCRTGCACATGTTTGTTTTCTTTTATCTTTTTTATGACCTGTCTGTTAGCAAAATATCCAAAAAGTAATTGTAGCCCCAGRTAAAAACTATATATACTGTAAATTCTTTACCCTAGACCTATGTTCTTTATTTTCCCACTGTCCATGAATGCACCTCRAGTAACCTCAAAAAAGTTTAGAATTCAGTTTTCATGGTAGCTGAGAGTCATCACCAACAAATACTTTGAGCTCTAACTCAAATGTTAAAGTGGAAGATAACTAAGAAAAACATAAAATCATAAAAAAATTATTATATTGACGAAAATATCGTCCGTACTTATATTTGCATAGGATAAAGAAAAGCTACAGAAGTTACATTTTTTTTCTGAGAAAACAACTGAACGACTGCTAAAGTTTGTTGAAGATTTTTTTTGTTAAAATGATCAAAACAGAAGCTAAAATCAACAGAATCGTATCTGTAAGCAAAAAGAAACAAAACTGTWGCTTAAAGTTAAAGTTGGTGAATTCAGAAAAGTTAAGACTGGCAAAACAGTTGCTAAAGTTTCAAATAAACAAAATAGTAGCTAAAAGCTAAATTTTGCATCAGGTAGCTAAAAGTTATATAAAAAACAGAACATATGCTAAAGTAGTTTTTTAAAATTAATTTAAGAGATGTCTACATGGCACTTTTCTGATACGCTAATAGCGAAACT